ATATATATATATATATATATATATATATATATATATATATATATATATAAAGCCTTTATGATAGAGAGAACATAGACTTAAATGGGGCTGCAGGAGGTCTGACTCCTCGGAATCAGCACCGTCAGCTGCGCAACCCTACCCCTCCTTCCTATTTTAGCTCCTGCAGTTGGTCTGCTGTGCAGCAGGGCAGCTGCTTTGCTATGTGATCTGAGCTTTGCTGGTGATTCACTTCACAGAATAATTAGCTCTGACTGGAATAACCAAGAATGGAGTCCCGGGAGTAAGAAAACTGGGTCCAGCTACTTCCCAGTGCAGGACAGCGCACTTGCGCACCGGCGCGTGTTTTGGTGTGAGTGAAGCGCGCTCTAAAAGGAGTTGGGCTAAAAACTCCTGCATGCTCATGCCAACATGTAACCATGGTGTTGCAGGACCCCAGCAAAGTGTTCCGCATACAAATGAAGGTTTTTGTTTTGTTTTACTGCACAATAAATAAAGAGAAATAACACATTTACTGACTGCATTATTTGGGATCTCTAACAATACAAATCTAAGTGTTACCAACCTTGTTTTCGCTTTGCACAATCAGTGTTGCTTCCGGTGTCGGCAGTAGAGGAAAGAAATTAGAAATCAAACGGATGACGGGTTATGCAGGTTCACCGGTTCATCCGTCCCTGTGCGGGCTGGGCGCTCCTTGCGATCAGCGGCCAGGGCCAGTCAGGATGATGCGGGCTCAACCAAAGGAGGAGGAGGAGGAGGAGGAGGAGGAGGATATATTTATGCTTCACTATCTACAGCACTGCAGTAAGGGGTGGTCCACGACGAGCCCATCAGCAGTACAGCAGAAAAAACACATTGAGACTGTGGTTGGACAGATGAACGATATGCACGGCATCAATCATCTGCAGCAATGGAAAGTGAATGGAAAGTAATATCTGATCAAAATGCAAAGTAAGGCTATTAGACTTCAATAACCACTGAAAAAAAAAACAATGAATCAAATATATAAAGCCATTTACTTGCAGATTTGTTTTATTCGTCTCATTTAGAGGAATTTCTGCTATTTGCAAATGTTTTGCATCACAGGATCATTACATAACTACAAAACTGTAATTTTTTTTCTTTCTACTGATTAAGATGATGAAACAAATCGACAATAAATATCTTACAAAACAATTAGAAGAACAATTAGAAGTAATAGAATATTTTAACAAATGACAGCCTGATTAATATGCCATGCATTTTTGTTAGGCTTACCAGAGTCACTACTCTGTGGGTTCATTTTTACCGCAATGACAGCTCCAAGCCCTTTGGGATGTCTACAAGGGCTTTGTATGTTTATTTACAAAATAGCTGAAGAATTTGGGACAGAACATCCGAGAATACATTTTATCATTCCTGATTGGATTTAGGTCTGGACTTTGACTAGGCCATTTTAACATATTTGATCTAAACCATACAAAAGCAGCTTGGGGTGTAAATTCAGAGTCTACTTCATGTTTAGACCTGAATGTCCGCCCCAGTTTAAATAGTTAAAAGTTTCAAAAAGTTTATTCCACCATCCACAAACATTTCTTTCAGCTCCCATCTTCCCAGCTCACCTGAGGGAAAGCATCCTCACAATAAGATGCTGCCACCTATATTCATCACCATATGAATGTTGCATTCAGGATGAATGGCAGTGTTAGTCTTCTACTACATAAATATGGCATTTTTCACACCAGATTGCATTCTTACATAAAGATACAATTTACAGCTTGTAACAAGCTGCACATTTCTTATTGTTTTACAGTAATTTCTTCCATCATTGAGTTCATCTTGCAACTCTTCTATAAAGCTGCATGACTACTTTTACTCAAAAGTTATGAGTCTGCAGCTTCTCCTGTGTTTATTATCACACTATTCTCTGACTATTGGTCTTTTTTTTTCAACCCTGTCAGTTTAGGTGAAAGGGCATATCTTGTAATTGGTATCAACTTTACTCTTTAGATTTTCAACTGATCTATCATTGAATGCTGTTAAATGCTTGTCACATTAGTTGAGATATTGAAACTGCTTTAAAAGATAATCCTGTGTTGTTTTTCCATTATCCCGTTTTACAAAATGTTCTCTAAAAAAAAATCCAAGCTATCATATATTTGCTTTACTATGCTAAATTATAGAAGTGGATGCCTTTTTCCTAATTTGGTGATATAAAGGTATTTATGGGTATGAGATGAATGAATGCCAAATATCCTAAATGCATTTTCCATATTTAAGCTCTAGATGGCGCTCTGATTCAAAACCAGAACCAAATGTTACAGAACTAAACAAAATC